TCTGCAAAGCTGAAACATCAGGGACCATTCTAGCTTAACATGCAGTTTGCCCAGCGCCTGCTGCAGCTGCCAGTCAACGCATGATGTCATGGGATGGGACTCAACAAAGTCCTCTGAGGAGCCACTAAGTGGAGGATCAACTCCAGGCTGAGTCCTCCCTGTCCAGGCGTCCTGCTCAGCCCTGAAGGCATTCAAGCACTGTCCCTTCAGACGGTTGCTGGACTGAGGCAGCTAGGGGCTCCCCTGTCTAAAACCACAAGTTCAGGCTAGCACACAGCCTGAAGAAATATGAATTCTATGACTGCTACAACTAACACAGCATCCCATTTATTTAGTCTGCAGGGAGCTTTAGGATAGGGGAGAAGGAAAAATGACCAAAGAACCTGGATATCTGGAGTTCATGTATTCATTCAACAAGTGTTGGGTAAGAATTCTAGATCAGGCCCCTGACTAAGAACAAAACAGAGAGCAACCCAAACCTAGACCATACACTCTATAGAGCAACAACTATTAAACAGCAATAACAAAAACAAATGCATGAATAGCAACAGCAACAAATACAGGGACGAGAAGGAAGCTCTGTTTATGGGTGACTGGGGGACCCATGGGGAGAGCAAAGGAAGGCTTTCTGCAGAGCAGGACATCTGAGCCAAATTTGCTACTTACTTTGCTCTCGCATCAGTAACAAGGGAGTGACACCGCTCCTCCAGACCCATAGAGATGTAGGAGAATGACCATGAAACAGACTTTGAAAAAACACCCAGCGTTCCTAACACTAAGCCCGTGTCTCCAGGGCCAGAGGCAGCTGTTCCCAGGCTTCTGCATCTGTCATCAAGCTAGGCATTACTCACGTGGACTGAAGACTTTGATCATTTTCCTTCTGCCTGCCAGGCAGCTGGGGTTGGGCAGACCAGGGGTTAGCCTTACTCTGTCTGCCACACAGCTCTCATGTGAGTTGGAGCCACTCATTTCACTCATAAAATTCACCTTTTCCGCCATCCCGAGTGGGTCGGGAACAGTGCGAAGCTCCCTGGGCACTCAGGACAGCACCTGCATGTCATCCCTCCTACACCGGCTGCAGCTGCCATCGCTACAGATCACTGACTCCCGCCAGTTCATTTCTTGGTAATAACTTTGGTCCTTCGCTCCTGTTTCCACTGCCACAAGCCAAGTGAAAGCACTTGTTGTGCAACAATAAGACTCCTGTCACAGCCTTCTGACCAGGGTCCGCCCCTTCCTTGGCTCACTATTCCAAGAGCTTTCAATGTGGGCTCCTAAAAGAGCAAAGCTTTGCCTACATCCCCTCTTTAATAAGTTACAATAGAAAAGGACATTAACGGCTCACACCATGAAAAACTAAGCTTCCTAATATGGAAAGACGCCGTAAAAATTGATAGAAAAGAACCCACAGTTGGATTTTTTTATTGGAAGTGTAGGGCCCTAGAGAGCTGTTTTTGTTTTTTGGTTTTTTTTGTTTTGTTTTGTTTTTTTTTTTTTTTTTTTTTTGTAGCTAAGAGAACTTGTTGCTTTTGCAGAGGACCTGGCTTTGATTCCCAGTACCCACATGGTGGCTTCCAATTCTAGTTCCAGGGGATCTAACACCATCTTCCGACGTCCTGGGGCACCAGGCATGCACGTACATAGTGTGCAGATATATATTCAGGCAAAACACTCAATACTCAATACACATCAAGTAAAATAACTATACAAAAGGAAAGATAAACACAAAGACAGAAAAACAAAAGACTAGTAAACACTAACTATGTGCAGCCTCATTTCTTATAAGAGAAATGCAAATTAGAATTCATATTTGACTTGATAAGTTGATGAAAACCCCAGAGTTATCCCTGATCAGGTTGGATGAAATCAGCCTGACTTTTATAAATTGACATAATTCCTATGGAAAGCAAGTTACCATTATTTATCATAATTTTAAAAAGCATATACTCTTTGAACCAGTGGTTTTTAATTGGGGACATTTGTTGTGTGGGTACACTTGCCGATTGTATTCATTGTAGCAGGTAAGGCTTGGAAATGGGAAAAACATCCAGGAACTCCAGTGCCGTCTTCTGACCTATCAGGGAACCAGACACGACCACGATACACATACATACGCGCAGACAAAGACCTATCTCCATAAAAGAAATAAATCTTTAAAATGTAACAAACCTAAGTCTGAGAAAGTCAGGGATTTGCTCAGCTGGTGGAGTTCTTGTTTAGCATGTGCAAGCACTGCATTCAATTCCTAGCCTTGTGTACACCAGGCATGGGGTTGCACGTCTGTAATCTCAGCACTGTTTGGGAGACAGGAGGATCATATAGTGACTTCCAAGACAGCCTGCGCTACCTGAGACCCTGCCTTTAGAAAAAAGAGTCTGTAGTTGGGAAGTAGAGGGTTAAAGGAGGGAGGCAACCGTGATTTTTTTTTATATTCATATATGAAAATGTCACAGTGTCATTATTTTGTATAATTAATATAAGGAAATGAGATAGATGAGAATGTGTCCTTATTCTCTAAACAATACAACTTAACAAGTATACACATAACATTTGCATTGTATTAGGTACTATAAACTATGGAGAATTTGGAGCACACAGGTATTTGTAAATATTATACCATTTGCTATAAGGAACTTGGGTATCTGTGGACTTTTTTCTAGCCTCACATGGGTAATAATTAACAAGGTGTGTGTGTGTGTGTGTGTGTGTGTGTGTGCGTGTGTGTGTTACATAGCTTTATTTTATGTGAATATTACCAAACCAAAAATTAAATTTAAATGTTCTCTTTTACTCCATCAAAACACAGTCTGATTCCTATTAGTGTGTAGTAATCCACATGTCTTCACACCAGATAAAAATGGGAAGCTTGTCATCAATAATAGGTTTCCACAGTGTGAAGAGAAAATTAAACTTGACAGAGAAAGATAAGAGGGTCATGGTAGTCCATCTTTGGGGACAGCCACTGACCCTTAGCAGCAGTCAGTTGCCCACTTGAGTCTACAGCTGGCCATGTTTTTTTGTTTTTTGTTTTTGTCAGTTTGCATTAAGCAGTAGACGGCAATCAGAAAATGAAATAAAGGGTCTCTCTGCTCCAGTGGCGCTCGGAGTCCAGGAGACCTGACCAGGACGTGACTGCCACAGTCCAAGCCTGGGAGACTGAAGTGTGAAGCCTGGGTTCTTACAAGTGGTTGTTTACGGTCTTGCAGACAAGCCGGAGCTTTTGAATACCGTGTTATACAGCCTTCAGCTGACTTGGCCTCAAAATCGACTGGAACAAACTTAATGTTCTGGAACCAGGTCACCTTTTAAAAGCTACTTCAAAGCAAAACTAAACCAGTGGCTCTTTCAACAGTGGCGTGGGGGCCGGGGTGGGGGAGCATAGGGGGGGCATGGTTTGAAAAGGACTTATTGTGTAGGTAATACATATACCCATACGTGCTAAGGCTCTGCTTGTAAAGTTTGATTGCAAGGTAACTTATGCTTGTACTTAATTGGTTAGCATTCCCTGGGCTCCATGGATCCAAATGTTCCTTTCTCACATTCAGGATGTTCTCTTCCACTGTCTCCTCCTCCGCTCCTGCCAGAATTCCCACAATGCAATACATTGGTTCACTTGATGGTGCCGCAGCAACCGATAGGCTCTTTCCTTTCTTTTTTCAAAAAGCACAAAGTTCCTCAAGTTTACTAATTTTTTTTTTTTAATTCTCGAGTCTGTTATTCAAGCTGTCTGTGGAACCTTCACTTCAGCCTTTCTTTAGCTGCAGAATCATTTGGCTCATTTTAAAGATTTGTTCTTGGCGAAATCCTGGCTTTGCCCACTTATTGCTTTCCTGGTTTCGTCCAGTTGCCCTTCTATGAGAGTTTTTGTTAATTTGAACAATCTAGAGTCACCTGGGAAGAGGGGGCATCAGCTGAAGAATTATCTCCGTCAGACATGCCTGTGGGCATGTCTGTGAAGTATTTTCTTGATTAATGATTGGTGTAGAAGGACTCAAACCACTGTGGGTGGTGTCATCCCTGGACGGGGGAGGGGGAGGAAGGAGTGGGGGGCTGGGCTGCATAAGAAAACTGAGCACACCACGGTGAGCAAGCCAGTGAGCCTCGTTCCTCCAGGGTCTCTGCTTGAATTCCTGCCTTGGCTTCCTCGAGGATGGACTGCAACTTGTAAGCCAAATAAAGGCTTTTTTCTCCCAAGTTCCTCTTGGTCGTGGCATTCATCACAGCAACTGAATGGAGCTAGGACACTGCCTACATAAAACTACCCTATCTGTTTTCGGTGATCTAAAGGCGTTCTTTATATATTCTGTATACATTTCCTTTATTTGGATGTGTTTGCTTATGTTTTGCCTGTGATTTGCATTTTCATCCATGGTAAGGGAGCTCACAATGTTAATTATGTCAACGAGCAGTTTTCCTTTACAGTTAATATTTCATGTATTTAAGGAATCTTTTTGGCAAAGTATTTTCTGATAATTTCTCCCTTTTACCTTTTATATTTAGATCTAAAATCTATCAGGATTTGATTTGGGGTGTGATATGGGATGGGCATCGTGACTCCATGACCTATCACTGGTTATTGGACTGTACCGTCCTCCGGTGTACCATATCAATAACTTTTACGCAAGTCAAGCCACCAGATAGTGCAGATGTGTTTCTGGATTCTGGCCCATCGGTCCTTTAGTCTGTCTGTTTCTGTGACTTTATAAATAGGTTTGAAAACTGTTAGTATGTGTAGCCCCACGAAGCCATATAGTACTGCGGGCACCTCCACCCACTGAACTTTCCATGCTCGCGTGTGGGAGTAACTGATTTGCCTGTTTCCAGGCTTATTCACTGTGGTTACCTCCGTCTTTGTCCCATCAAAGCCCTTTAAATTGAAAGTCAGCCAGGTGTCTGCCGAGCCGCAGGTCTGTTGGGTAATTAAATAACGCCGGCAAGGGGGAGGAGCGGATTAGGCGAGGCTTGCCGGTTGAGTGGGGTTCTCTGTAGGAAGAGTTTGATCTACACTTAAAGTCTTGCTTCTCGGGGTAGACAACGGAGAGCCAAAACTTTCAAAGCCGGGGCCCGAGGAGAGCCAGACGAGGTCACCGAATGTAAATGTCGCGGGGGTTCGGCCCAGCCCGGCGAATCGGCTGGGCGGGGTGGGGCCGCCAAGCCGCAAATCACCAGTTGAGGGCCAGAGAGCGCGGAGCGAGCTCAGAGCAGCGCTTGCCGCCACCGGGCCGGGTGGGAGCCGGGCTGGAACCGCACCACGCAGCCAGCAGTCGCGCCGGCCTCTCGGCGGACACCCGCGGACCATGAGCCGCCCGCGCTCCCGGAGCAGCTGCGGGGCGGTGCGGGCAGAGCGGCGCTGAGCCGCCCTCCGGGACCCCGAGTGCGGTGCGGGGAGGTGAGTGTGCCCGGTGCGGTCGTGCTCAGGATCCCGGGCTCCCTCGGTCGTCCCGAGTCTGCACTGGGAAGTTTTTTAGAGCGAAGTTAGATCGGGGAAGGGCGCAGCCCGCTTATTTTCCCCCTGAATTCCCATAGACTTGGTGTGGGAGTGGGGGTGGTCAAAGTGTGTGTGGGAGGGGTGAGACTTGTGCCCTCGCGGATATCGGGTCCCGGAGCTCCCGGGAGTGGAGCGCCAGTGATGTGCTTCCAGCATCTCCACACTTTGGCTCCCGAATGTACCATCCCGGGCGCTGGCCTCCTGACCCCTCCGGACCCCTTCACAGTCCTGTCTCGTTCTGCCCGAGGCCGGTCTAAGTTGGGGAGGTGAGGTGGCCCAGAGGACTCTGCTGGAAGCCGGAGTCTTTCTCCACTAATCTCTTGGGAAGTTTGCTAAGAAAGTGAAGGAGTCTGCCCTGTAACCGTTGACAACATCTCCCTCCCCTCGCCTTCCCTTTGTTGAGAAAGAATGAATAGTTGGTTGTGTGGCTCCCCTTGAGTCGGGGAGGGGAAGGCAAAGGAGGGAGGGACGGGTCACAGCCCATCTTCCTTTGCCCGCCGAGTCTGCTGCCACTTAAAAAAGTTTGATCAGGTGTAGACACTCATTGAGAGCAACTGGCAGCGGCAGCCGGTGCTGTGGGACTAAGGTTTAACAGTCGCTCGAGGCAAGGTGAAAAGGGGAGTAACCCTAGTCTGGTTTTGCCTACAGCGGTTAGGCAGGAAAAGTAGAGCCCCGAGTTCAGAGATTCTTTTAAACCTTGAGTCTTATCTCCCAAGGTTCCACAGACCTCTCCAAGGCAAGTACAGGGCCCAGGGAAGGTCAGTTTGGAAGTTGATGATCTCACTCTGTGTTCCCCCTGGTGGAGAGGAGATCCAGGAGGAGGCTCTGCAAGGCCGAATGGGAAGGGGCCTCTAAGTCCCCGGGAAGCCCACCGCCCACCCGCGAGGGTGCCAGGAAGCCTCCTGAGTATAAAGGAACGGTTTATTATGCCAAACGCTCCCTCAGTGCCCAACGCCGACTCCCTCACAAGTGCTGTTAAAAAGCCTGACATTTCCAAGATGAGTAACTAAGACTTCAGTTCCTATGGATATAGAAAGAACTGCTTTGTCAGATGGGTGCTAATCTTAAGAACCTTGCCCTGTAAATCCTTCACTGTATTGCTTGAAATACAATCCATGGAAGAATTATTCATACTTCAGTCATTTGGCTAGACTTCATAAGCTTGCCCTCGATTAGTAAAGCCAAGTGAAAGTTCTAAGTGGAGAAGCCAATCTTATCTGTGGGGTAGCCAGTCCCATCTGCCCTTGCTGTCTGCCTTTGCTGAGAAGATAGGGCCAAGGCCAGCTGAGGCAGGGGCATTCCCAGTTTGAAATATAAAAGTCCTTGAGGCCCTTTCCTCAGACTGCCACGTGTGAGTTCAACCTGAAAATATCCGGTTTCAGAACCAGAGAAAAATCTAAACAAGCGGGCTGTGTGCTTTGCCTCCGCTTGCAAGATCATCAGGTTTTGCTGTGAATGGGACCAAGCTCATTAGCTTTTCAAAGCTCTGTGGCTGGCCAGAGTCTGGCAGGCAGGCAGGCAGGCAGGCAGGCAGGCAGCAAGGCTGTTTGATGTGAGGGTCACTCATGGTCTCAGCATTCCCAGTGTCATACTCTCCCTATCAAGATGGGGCATCTGACCTTTGTATGTGTTTCAGTTGAAGGCGGATGGTCAAAGTCTTTGCTGGTGTTTGTTTGAAAGCATGCAGATGGTTCACTTGGTGTCCGTGCCCTTTTGGGTCTCTGTCCTCTCCACTCGGTGTGTTTACGTCTGTTCTAGGCTGAGACATCTCACTCCTCACCCTTCCCAGCTGCAGTGGGGACACAGTGACTGAGCTGGGCAGACACGGCCCCGGCCCTGTTTAGAGGAGATGTGTTTTTGTTTGCTGTGCGCCAAGGACTTCATTTTACATGGTCGCATTTAATCTTTCACAACAATCCATGAAGACAGGATTGTTGGCACATTGAAGGAAGGGCGACTGAATGTTAGCCGTGTAACGTGTCCCAGACCTCGTTGCTACCAAGGCAGAGGCAGGGTAGAGGTTTGATGTAGTAAATTCCTGGCTCTGAGACCCAGATTCTGAATTGTACCATTTTGATTTTCAAAGGCCAAATGGTACTTAAGAGTGTTTAGTGACCAGTGGCATCAACATAGAAATATCTGCAAGTAAAGAAGAATCCGTGGGAGTCGGATTTAGAACTCTGTGGATCTGCTCTAGCTGCTTAGTTCTTGGCTTTTGCATTGGTTGGTCTGGAATCCTCCCCCTGCCTGGAACTTCCTTCAGATCTTTTCTTGCCTGGTCCCTTATCTTTTTGTCTCAGAGCTCCTGTCATTAGCTCTTCAGAAAGGTCCTGCCAGACCATCTCAAGTTATCTTTCCCTCCAGCCAGCATCTTTTATCATTTCTTCTGTTTTGTTTTGAATTCCTTGGAGTACTTACACCTTGGGTATTGCCTGGTTTATTTTCTTGTTTATGTGGTTTGGTTGGACTCCCCACATCTCAACTGAGGCGTCTTGGGAGCAAAGCCTTATTATAGCTCATTCCTGGTGCACTGTAAGCCCTCACAAAAAAATATTTTGAATGAATGAACGTGATTCCTCTGAGCTTGGAAAATGAACTTGAACTACCAATGTTTGCTGCTGTTGTTAGCTTCCTCTATAAATTTTAACCTGGCAAGGTCAGGGGTCATTTCTATATTGTTTTGTTTTGTCTTGAAGACAGAGCACAGTGTCAGCCATCTTTGAGGTCTTCCACCTTTCGATTCTGTCACCCGGGAGACAGTTTGAGTGAAAGGTACTGTTGCCAGGGAGGACCCACAATGCCTTGCTTCTCAATCCTGGCTTCAGATTGGGCAATGCTGTGGAACTTTAGAAAAAGTGCTGATGTTGGTGTCCTGACCACAGAGATTCTCATTTTAGAATCTGGTCTGTGGTTGAGCCACACTGCAGATATTCCCTGTAGGATTCTTAACATGCAGCCAGACTAAGCCCTGGGTGTTTGCATCTTTGAACTTGTTCTCCGCCTTGGTTCTGATAGGCTTGCGGCAGCCATGGTGAGAAGTAGGGATGCAATTCATGTTTTGCTGATGAGTCTTGGTAGTATGGGAGATACTTTCGCATCCGTTGTTGTAAGGTAGGTGACACTATTACGTGCTCTGGTCTAGTTCCTTTGTGTTGATGATTCCATCCAGTTCCCTGTCTAGTGTACAGACTCTAACCTCCTTCCGCGCTGAACTGTCCCCTGGTGCCTCACACACAGCTCCAGTCACTGCCCTCTGGCCTGAGTCCCTTCTGAACCCACTTATGCTGTCCCACATAGCTGAACCCACATCATGCTCTCCCCCCCATGGCCATGGCTTTGCCTTCCTTCCTTCCAACTAGAGACCTTGAGCTTCTAATAATTCTTCCCTCTGTCCTGTCCTTTCTCTTGGCTACTTCCTGAGATCAGACTCCTGCATTGTTCTTCCTGGTCCTCTGCCATCTGCCCAAGTGACAGCTTGGCTTCCTTTTCCCTTACCAGAATCAACCAGAGTCACCTACCGAGGTGCAGTCTAGATCCCTCCTGTTTAGGCCTTCCCTGGCGCTCACCAGTCAAGTCCAGACACTTTGGCAGAGCCCTTAAGACTCCATGGCCTTGTCCTTAGCTGTAGGTCTTTCAGGAAAGGGTTTCTCAGCTTTTCCACTCAGGCACAAGGCCTGCAGGGTACCCAGTGTGTGGGGGATGATTCGTACCTGAATGGGTCTGGCATTACAGTGTCCTCTTACTTTTTCTGATAGAGTACTTCTGTCAAAGTTAACTGTTGTTCCAGCATGAGGGTCGCTATTTGTGAGTTCTAGGTTGGGATTCTGTGCCTCTTATAGAGAATCCTACTTAAATGTTTGTTGAATTAAAAATAGGAAAGGAAGACAGCAGACTTTGCTATCGGAGGATAAGTTGAGGTGGGGGATATACTCAAGGGCATCATAGAGCCTTCTAGTGCAATCTCAAACTGCAAACTCAACTTGGCTATGCAGAGAAGCCACCTGCCAAGGTCACTGGGGCTAAAATCACTTTTGCTCTTCTTGGCTCACGGAAATAGACATGATCAAGAGTGCAGCCTTACACATGAAGATGTTTTGTGTATGCTGTGTCTCTCTCCCCATCCCACCCCACCAGTTTCTTTAAGATGATGCAGGCCTGTCAGTGAAGAAGGAAGGTGCTGATAGTTTGAACAGAGGCAGTTCACAACTATGGGGGTTGAAAATGGGGGTGGGGTGGGGGACTGCTGGTTGGTTTGCGTCACTAGCGGTCAGGTAGAAGGCTAGGGAATTTTGATTTCTTTTTTTAATAACAATGATTAACATTGAGTAAGTGCTGGCAGTGTGCCAGGAACTGGCCAGGACTCTCCACCCTGTTTTTCTACATCCCCGTGAGCCAAGCCTTCTCTATGTGGTCTCACACGCAGCAGACAAGCTTCTGAATTTATCAAGACTGGCAAAGAGCAGTGGACAGGGTTAGGGCTATATCCTTGAGTATATTCTACGCAGCCCCCAGCACTTGTGAACTTTTCCCTGTGGCGTGTAGCGGTGGATTTGTGTGGCTTCACATACAAAGTGTGTTTCCTCTGCAAACTCCTTTTGTCCCGCTGCCACCTCCGTGGGCTCACATAGCCATTGATGGTGAAGCCAGCAGTTCTGTAAGAGCCAGCTCCGCAGGGGTGCCATAGGGAAATTTTCACTCAAGGCTCTTCTTCCCCCTGACGATTGCAATGGTGCTGCAAGCTTGGGAATGGACTGTGGAGTTCAGCTGTCCCGCAGTGATGTGCAGACCCCTTGATGTCATAGGCATGGAAGATAGCTTACCCGGGGAATGGTTACAGTTTCTTGTAGGGCTCCTGTTTTGATTTGTATGTTGGCCTTGACGGGTCTTGTATAATTTGACTAAGGTCAAAACCACAGTTTAGTTTGCTTTGGCGCTCTGGTACAAGTGACTCTGAGGCATACCTGGGCGTGGTGGTGGGAGCTGGTGCTGTCGCCTCGCTAGTCAGTGTCCTCTCTGTCTGTGCCCTCCCTCCTTTCTTTTTTCTCTTCGCCTTCCCTTTCTCTTCTTCCCTGACTTTACATGCACCTGTGGGTATGGCTTGACCTTGCTGGTGACTGGCAGGTTCCTGACTCCTCTTGGAAAGAATCTACAGGGTGTTACCACTTGCTGGCTTTCCGGTACAACCGATCATGCTGATGTGTAGAAGAACGAGCCACCCCTGACCCCTGACCCTGCCTTGGTTAACTGGAGTACACTGATTTATTTATAAGCATCGAGTCTTTACCAGAAAAGCCGCCCTGTCATTGTGGGTAGCGCAGTTTGGGTCTGGCACTGTAGATCCCAGCAGCTAAGGAATTTCACTAGCTCTGCCTGTCTTAACATTAGCAAGGTGGTGGAAATCACGGTAGCCATTGTCTAAGAATTTGTAATATTTTTCCTGGTATTTATTGCCGGACCTACCAGTCCTTCCGTAACAATCTTTTTTCTTAATTGCAACCCCCACTTCAATAATAGAAAGATGGTCCAGAGGATTCTAACAACTCTGAGATGCTTTCGTCTGTTTGGATTGGTTGCCCATCCAGCTGAATTTCCCTACAGAATCCTGAAAGAGCGAGACGATGAACAAACATCTGTGCTTATGGTGTTCCCCTAGTAATACCATCAGACATTATTCACCTTTTGATGTTTCTTAATTTTTCTCTAGTTTCTTCAATTGGCTTGAAGTTGATTCTTGTGGATATCTTAGCTTTATCCTCTCCTCTTTCTCCCTCCTCAGCGTTGAGAATCATGGCTGCGGGAAAATTTGCCAGCCTTCCGAGAAACATGGTTGTGAATCACCAGTTCCCCTTGGCCTCGTCCATGGACCTTCTGAGCAGCAAGTCCCCTCTCGCGGAGCCTCGCACAGATGCATATCAAGACGTGTCTATACATGGCACTCTTCCGCGGAAGAAGAAAGGCCCTCCTCCCATACGATCCTCTGACAGTGCCAGTCACATGGGTACCCTTCCCCACTCCAAATCCCCACGGCAGAGCTCACCTCTGACCCGGGACGTCATCCAGGAAAACCCACCACAAGACTGGAAAGGGGACACCTTCACCTTCAGGTAACTCCTGTCATTTTATGAGTGAAAATTATTTGTCTAAAGGTGTAGTAATAGGGGCGGCAGGGCTGCGTTCTCAGCACCCCCGGCCGCCTGCCCTGCCCGACTAGCTTATGCCCGAAATAACAAGACACAAACTGTATTCATTTAAACAATGCTTGGCCCTTTAGCCCTAGCCCTTACAGGCTAATTCTCACATCCCGATCAACCCATCTCTAATAATCTGTGAGAACCGGTCTTACCGGGAAGATTCTAGCCTAGTCCATCCTGGGTCGGAGCTTCATCCCGGGAGCGGGGCCTGGCGTCTCTCTCTGAGGCGTCTGCTCCCGAGAGAGCTGTGGAGTCTCTGACCTCACTTCCTCTTCCTCCCAGTGTTCTGATCTGTTTACTCCTCCCACCTATCCTCTAACCAATAAAATGGGCCAGGGCAGTTCCTTTATTAGCCAATGACCTTCCTCCATCATTTCCCCTTTTTCGGTTTAAACAAAAAAAAAAGGCTTTAACATAGCAAAATTACATATAACAAAACAGTTATCAAGTAAAAGTTACAATAATCTTTATCATAACTAAGGAAAACTATAACTATAACTAACTATTCTTAACTCCATCAAAGACTCCAGAAAGATATAATATTACCTAAGTAAACAAGAACTAAGAAACTTCAAACTCTAGAAATGACAAAGACATCTCGCTGCCTGGACAGTCACCCAAAGTTCTTTTGTACCGTTGGGGCATCCATCTTCAGCCTTCAGGCCCATGGTATCCAGCAGACATTTCCATAAAGCAGGAAAATTCAAAGTCAGTTCAGTCACTATCTGTTGTGTCCTGCAGAATGTCTCGCAGACTCTTTCAAAATGAATCAGGAACCCCGAAAGATCATCTCACCTTACGCAAGTTCAGTAGTCCTCTCTCTGCGGGTTCTCTGTGTCCAGTTTATGCAATAGTCCGGGCAAGAGCAGTTTCTTGCCCAAATGGCTATCAAAACTCCATAACGAGCCTCTTCGATGCCCATCTTCCTCTTGAAATAGATTGGTGCTGCCAGGAGCAGAGTGTCTCATTGTCATGAAAAGTCCTCAGTTATTAAAACATTAAATGTCCTATTCTGTAATCTTTGAAAGACATGAAGAATGTCTATCTAAAATATATCTCTATATATCTAGAAAATCTAACTAACATGACTACAAACTTGACTATTATGATTATCTATTAACTACCTATATACATTACATTTTTAAATGAACTACACAATCACAATACCTTAATCAATATCAGAAATACATATACATTTAACAAAATTGACCTTAAATCGCTATCAATGAAGCAAAATCTATACTAATGCAAATTATTCATATCTATATCATATCCCCCTTTAAATGTAAAAGGACGTTTATAAACCATATTTGGGAACATGGGCGCAGTTTTTTCTCTCCAAACTGCTTCCTGCTGAATGGGGGCGTCGTTAATTAGGTCTTTCATGGTATAACCTGTGTGCTAGTTTCATCTCAGTTGGCAGTTGAGCGAAGCAATTTTCTGAAGGTGTTCACACCAACCCTTCAGGAGGGCGTGGTCCATCATACCAAATCGGAGTAGAAGAAATGAACAGCGTCTCATCCTCTGTGAAAACAAAATAAGAAACTCCTTTCCAAAGTATCATGTCCTTAGATCCAAATTTCAAATTTAAGGCATCAAAATATCTATGTTGGATTAGTCCAGCAGCATTTATAAATAAATATCTTTTAGCATCTGTTGCTCCTTCCTCAGCATTTAAATATTTTAAAGAGAGCATAATAGCATACAGTATCAAAATTCTCTGTGTATTTTCCATCTTTGTGCAGCTTTGTTTTAACCTCTATTTTGTTTATTTTTACTTTTAACTCTTTGCTTTTTGAGACAGGTTCTCTGTATCTTTGACCTGAAGTAACTCTGTAGACCAGGCTGTCTTTGAAATCTCAGAGATCCACCTGTTTCTGCCTCCCAGGCATTTGGGATTAAAGGTGTACACTACTACACCTTGAACTCACAGAGATCTGTTTGCCTCTGCCTTCTAGGCACTGGGATTAAAGGCGTGTGCTACCACACACAACAACTCTTCCTTTTTTTTTTTTTGTTACTTTAAGAACTTTAAATTTTAGTCTGCATATATTTTTAACACACTTCAAACCATTTAGAAATTTTCTCTGTCTTTGAATTTCTCTTTACTGTATATCTCTCTTTTTCTGACCACATGAGTCTTTAATTTACCAAGCAATATCAGTAGGATTACAGGCGTGGCTTTGCCGGCTGGATCCAGCCCATTCCTTAGCTTTCCAGCCTCATGGCTGAGGTACTGGCTGTAGCCAGCAAGCGAGCTTCAGCAGCCTTTGCTTGCAAACCGCACAAACCGCTTGCGTAAAAGAGTCAGAGTTTGCCCTGGCAGGGCAGCCCAGAAAGCCAGCATTTTTAAACGGCGCAGCTTTTTTCCTGCTAAGGCTGAAAACCGAAAAGCATGCGTTCAGCTTTTCGTCAACACCGTTTAAGTGTTTCGTGGCAGGACCTCTTAATGAGCTGCAGGCTTTGCAGCTAAAGCTGAGTCAGGAAGCCTCTCTTAGATGAGGCGCTTGCTTGCCTCTGGCAAGCAGAGCAGACCCGAGAACACTGCGAGTCTAGTTGCCATCAAACAAATCATAGCCCTTTACTCCAAATGCTCTATTCAAAAGCTCTGTCTCCCGCAGTAGCCAGACAGAGATCACAATGGCGGCACAGCCCCAGGAAGTCGCGCTTTAAAATGACACAGCGTTTTTTTTCTGCTACTGTTGCCGAATCAGGAAATCTCTCTACAGCACGCCACCAACAAACAGCAAAAATCTGTGTTAAACTCTCTTTCCCTTATTTTTAAGCCTTCTCAGGTTTTTTAAGTGGGTTTAGTTGTTCACACGTCTGGGCGCCAAATGTAGTAATAGGGGCGGCAGGGCTGCGTTCTCAGCACCCCCGGCCGCCTGCCCTGCCCGACTAGCTTATGCCCGAAATAACAAGACACAAACTGTATTCATTTAAACAATGCTTGGCCCTTTAGCCCTAGCCCTTACAGGCTAATTCTCACATCCCGATCAACCCATCTCTAATAATCTGTGAGAACCGGTCTTACCGGGAAGATTCTAGCCTAGTCCATCCTGGGTCGGAGCTTCATCCCGGGAGCGGGGCCTGGCGTCTCTCTCTGAGGCGTCTGCTCCCGAGAGAGCTGTGGAGTCTCTGACCTCACTTCCTCTTCCTCCCAGTGTTCTGATCTGTTTACTCCTCCCACCTATCCTCTAACCAATAAAATGGGCCAGGGCAGTTCCTTTATTAGCCAATGACCTTCCTCCATCATAAAGGGCTTTCTGTTAAATCTATGCAATGTATGAATCTCTCCTCCCTTTTTTCGCTTCCTTCTTCCTTCCGGTGTTAGAGCACTCAGGGTCTTGTATATGTGAGGCCAGTGCTCTATCACTGAACTGCATCCCTAACTCAAATGAACAATTTAATGTCTCTAAAGCTCTCCCTGCCCCTTAGCTGTTACCAACTGATACAGCCAGTAGTGTTTTGCCTTTCTTTCTTCCTGTCTCCCCTCCCTCTGCTATCACTGAAGCAAATCTTCATTTTCTAATAAACTTCTTTTATCTAAATATATTTTTGTATGTGCCTGTTAAGGATAAGGATTCGGGTGTAAAGTGTCTGTAACCACAACTTAAATATAACAACTTTAAAGGAATCATTTCTTCATATCATGTAATATTTGAGTTTTAAAAATCAAACTTGCTACATTAAGACTCTTAAAACACATAAAAAAATCATAGTATTGGATTAAACTACATCCATTTAATTCTGCAGCAATGCCAAGGCATATGTAAGCTAGGATCCGCACTTCCTTTAGCTGCCAGTCTGCCAAAATTAAATTCTGCAGGCTGCATTGCCAGATCAGATTCACGGTATTATTGGGGAAAGATTGATTTTTCTCTGCTGAGGCCAGGGCTCTGGGTAAGTAAGCGTCACAGCTGCCAATGCTGTTTCTCTGGGTTCCTAGTGCCTAGGTTGTGATTGGCCCCTGCTGGTTAGAGCCAGTTTGGGAACTGTGCTCCTTTTCCTGTAGATCAGCAGCGTGGGATGTTATCAGGTAAAGAACAGGGCGGTGTCTTCCCTCCTCATTCTTGTCCAACCTTGTAGCAAAAAAAAGCTTCTCTGATCCGGACTCGTTTTTTGGTTCCATCTATAGATTGAATACCCGTGTTCTTCGGAGTATATTGACTTTATACTCCCCAGGGTTTCCACGGGAAAATTCTCCCCAGTCCCATTGAGCACTTAAAGGATTGGTCCAGCACTGAAGGTAGTCTCGCAGCCAAAGTATTGTGGTAATCAGCTTTTGTCCTCTTGCGTCTGAAGCCATGCCTTCTCTGAACTGCGATCAGATACAAGCAATCAAATAAGACAACTCGAGAGTATACCAAATGCTTTAGAAGAAACAGGTTGACATTCTGGCCTCCGGTGGACATAGCTAGTTATTGCTTTGTATTTGTAAAGGTCATTAAGGAGATGATTTTAGATCTAAGATGACTATAAGATGACTACTTAATGAAAAAGGTGACCTTGACCTGTGTAGGCGCTTCCAAAGGCAAGGAGCTGGAGCTCAGAGCAAGTTGGGTGTATTTGCAAACCCCCTAAAAATCTGGTGTGGTCTATAACTGGAGTGGGTAAAGCTGAGAGGTGAGCAGTAGAGATTTGGGGGGCTGGGGAGCGGGCAGACAAGACTGAAACACCAATTTTAATTTCATAATGTTTATAAGAAGAAAATAGGTGAAGGCCAGGCATTCTCCGTGGACAGTGTCAGAAGGCCCTGAAGTGCTTCTCATGTCAGATCGGATGGACCACCCGTGGGACACCCAGCTCTGTGGTTTCCTAGCAGAGAGCCTGCAGGCAGCCCGCTGCTGAGATGAGCAAACACCCGAGGGCATTATTGTTACTATGGCCCCGCTGGCATCCAGGAGGCAGGA